GCAAGGCAGGCCCTACAAGTGGAGGCTACAGGACCTGAACCTGTTCAGTCTTCACAAGAGAAGTCTGAGAGGGGATCTGGTGGCCATCTACAAACTGGCCAAGGGGGACCAGCAGACTATGGGAGAGTCCTTGTTCCCCCGAGCTCTACTGGGAGTAACAAGGAATAATGGCCATAAGTTGACAGAGTAGGTTCAGGCTAGATATGAGGAAGCACTACTTCAGTCAGGGCGGCTAGGATCTGGAACAACTTCCAAAGGAAGTAGTGTTCGCTCCTACCATGGGGGTCTTCAAAAGGAGGCTAGATAATCACCTAGAGGGGGTTGTTTGACCCCAGCATTCTTTCCTACCCATGGCAGGGGGTCGGACTTGATGATCTGCTCAGGTCCCTTCCGACCCTACCAACTATGACATGGAGCACTTTACACTTCTCAATCTGGGGATGAACCATCCCCAACATACTTACAGGCTCCAAACTGTTGGTGGCGCCAAACTGACTAGTACTGAAGGGGAACAGAACAGAGTCGATCGCCATTATGTGTAAGCGACCAGATCACGTACCCAGCTTAATCTATGAGGAGGTCAAAGGGCATGACTCCAAACTGCTAGGCTAAGCACAAACTGGAACAATTCTAGTTTAGTAAAAACAGGATACTAGTATAGGAAGAGTGTGGCTATTAATAGATTGGTGTATCTGTTACTATGCATATGATGTCATACTTCCTATATAATCAAGTCGCGCGTGAAGTAGAACAACAGACAGTTTCCTCTCGGGGCAGTTGTCTGTTCAGAATGCATTCTTTAATAAATCAAGTCTTTAAACTTATGTTGTCATTAGCCTGAGCCTCCACCTAACGAACCTGGGGACTAGTTTTCCTCAACAGTACCATGACTGAAAAGGACCTAGGGGTAATAATAGACTATAGTATGAACACCAGCCGTCAGTGCAATGCATGCCAGCGTATCATTTGCCCTGCATCGACAGATGCATCTCAAGCAAAACCAAGGAAGTGATTCTCCCACTTTATTGAGCATTGGGGAAACCGCAGCTGGAGTACTGCGTCCAGTTCTGGGTGCTGCATTTCAACAAGGACATGGAAAAGCTTGAGGAAAATCCAGAGAAGAGCCTGTATGATCAGAGACTTGCAAGGCAAGCCATATGAGGAAAGGCTGAGGGAGAGTCTCTTCAGCGGAAAAAGAAAAGGCTGAGAGGAGACTAGATAGCAGCTTACCGCTATATCGGGGGGGATACATCAAGGGCTCAGTGAACAACTGCTCACCAGGGCACCCTTGGGGAAAACCGAGAGTAATGGCCACAAACTCCTGGAAGACTGTTTCAGGCTTAACACTAAAAAAAACTTCTTCGCAGTTAGGGTGTCCAGACTGTGGAATAAACTTCCTCCAGAGGTAGTACCCTGGAAATCTTCAAGAGGAGACTGGATGGTCACCTCACTGGGGTCACCTGACCCCAGTTGTTTTTCCTGCCTGGTGCAGGGGGGCTGGACCCAATGATCTTGCAAGGTCCCTTCCAGCCCCTAACAGTCTATGAATCAATGGCCACCCTCTAGTGGCCACGTGGCTCCTGCTGTGCTCCAGCTCCCTGAGTACCTTCTCTTTTCTCCCTCCTACCATGCCTTGATGAAATTATTTGATGTGTAATAAGGAGACAGACCATGCTGGTCCCAATCCTGCCCCTTGAGCATTAAGTGGGGCCCTCTTGGCCCATCAGTGCCCTCAGGGCATCTATCACCTTAAAAGCTTTTTATGGTCCCCTCCTACCCTTTCAGCCTCACAGATGTTACAGCTTAAATCACTCCACTGTCAGGCCACCTTAGGTCTCCATGCCCTTGTTGGGGCCTCAACCTTTCTGGTCTCCACCCTATTTCTCTAGCTGGGTCCTGAAGCGAGCTACAGGCCCCTTGACCCTGGGTTGCACCCCTCTCTGGCTAGGCCTCTTAGCATCTTGAGCCTTGACTCCTGGCAGAGCTCAAAATACCCATGCTGCTTGGGCACCCCTGTGGCTTGCACCCCTGCCCTCTGGCAGGCTCATGCCCTCGCATGTCATCAGGTATCCCAGTTGCCTCCTCATCTCTCCTTATAGACACATTTGGCCACAGGCTTAAACCAAAATGCAAGCCCACTGGCTACAACCAAAACTATCCCCCACACTAGGTGCAAACCTAAATACCAGTTCACTGGCTGTGCAACAGAACTCCCCCCCATACTGGGTCATATTCCCCTGCAAGCCATCACCTCCTTGCTTGTAGTTCCCAAGGCAGCTCAGGAACAAGCCCACCCCTCACCTGCAGCTCTTCTTCCTACTGCCTGTAGAGTCAGACTGATTGTCTGGTCTCAGGCACTGGCTTTATGTGCCTCCTACGTCCTGCCCATTCCAGTCAAGTGACTCTACAGTCCCACACAGGTGTTCTCATTCTTTGACTGATGACCAGCCTGCTTTCCCTGCTACCCCTGAGCTCAGCTGTCTGCAGCCCTTTGTTTCTAGGCTGTTCCAGGGCAGGCACAGTTTATTGCTCTTTCCATGTTTCCTGGGGGAGTTACTGCCCCCAGAGTAATTCTGTGTCTTCAAGTTGGCCTATTCACTAGCAGTTAGCCTCCTGCAGCTTCCTCTTGAAGTGACAGGAGCCCTCTGGCTCCCCGTGACAGGGACATGAAATGAAATGATTAGGAGCTAGGTTTAAAGTAAACAAAAGTTCTTTTTCACATGGCACATAACTAGCTTGTGGAATCATTGTCACAAGATGCAGAGGCTGAAAGTTTAAGCACATTCTAAAGAGAATTTGCATGGAGAAACTCATGCAGCAGACATTCATCAGGGGATATTAAGCCCAACAGTTAGGATTGGAATCTCCATATTAGAGCTTTCTAGGCCTCTGAATGCTGGAAGTTTGTAAGGGAACAGGGGTAGGGACAGATCAGTTTGGATATATCTACATG